CACAACTAGCCTGCAGGCCTAATAAAATATGTCTATGCACAAAATAATGAATTGCTGCTCCTTAAATATTTGGAAGCAATGTCACTATTTCAATCGAAAGGCAGGCCACAGCCAACCACAATCAACCGTAAGCATCCATAATACAGATATCAATACAGAGATGCGCGGTCCACCAACGATCAGAGTGCACTATTAAGTTCTTTATGCAACTACAGAATATAATCATCCTTCATTTTTCTACCTGTAGAGAAACCTGGTATAGTCGAAACTGCTAACCTGAAACCACGGTAGAGTTATTACTCAAACCCACAGAGAGTTAATACTCAAACCCACAGGGATTTACCCATCAAAGATCCCTTACTAACATTATCGGCAAAGAACTTTCATGCGTTCAACAGAAATCGGTGCGTGGTTCTGGACGTGCTCAAGTCCACCTGACAGCTTTTAACGATGCTTGAAAGACAGTTGAGGAGAGTTACACTGTTGATGTATTGGAAACTTTCCAAACTTATGACATTCCTCATCCTCTCTCTCATTCTGAGCCTCTTGTGCTCCATGCTGCCAGTGATGGCTGGTGCCTGTACACCAGTTTCTCCTCACAACACTGAGAGTCCACAGCCGACGCTAGCGGCTTCATGAGTGTGTAATTAGACTCTTTGGTGTTTTGAGCTAAATGCTAATGTCAGCATGTGGACAATGTTGACATACAGACACTGTGTAGGTATGATGTTTACTGTTTAATTTTTACTTTAGTGTGTTAGCCTGCTAACATGTGTTTGCTGAGTAGCATGAAACAGAAGTAGGCCTGTACGGTTGAGGCTGATGTCATCACTTTAGCAGCTATTTAGTCATGAACCAAAGCATTGGACCCATTGAAATAGATCACTTGAGTTTTTACAATTCATCCCGCAAAGAACATGAATGTCTAATTTCACATGACTTAGTCCAATAGATGTCAAGACATTTCACTCAGAACCAAAAATGTGAAACCTGCTGCTGATGCTGTGGATAGCACAAAAAGCCAGATACATCATCTGGGAACCATGAATATTTGTACAAAATGTTGTACCAGTCCGTCTGGTAGATGTTGAGATATTTCACTGGATAACCTCATGGTGACAGTGGAGGAAACTAGAGGACCACCAATAGTATGATTAATCCTCTGGGGACCGTGAAAGACTAGATCTATAAATCAAGCTCATTTTTGTTGAGATATTTCAGTCTCGACCACCGTGGTGGGCAACCAACCAACATTGCTATAGAGTCCCTAAAAGCACCAGATACAGTAGTGTAGCCAGGCCTCCTCCTGTCTGTCACCCACCTTGTTTGCATGAACTCAAGACTCAAGCTGAGAGAGTAATGCTACACTAAGCTCAGTTTCACGATTCTTTCCAATTATCATGTTACATCTGACTACAATAGACCTTCAGCAAATATCACATTAGTGAAGCTTGTAATGCTTTTTTTTCTCCAGAAGTTTCCGTGATTATGACTTGCACTTGAAAATTCAATACTGCTTGCAAAGACAAAACCACGACCAACTGTCTGTCTTGAGTATCTTTTAACTTTTATGTTCTGCCCTTTGCACTTCCTGAGGTTACAGTGTAGAAATCACTCTGTTAGAGTAGCAGGCCACAGGTTACAGGAGCAGCAGTATCACCATAAAGGCAGAGTTCAGTACCTGCGAAGAGTCTACAAATCAAGTCTCATAAAAGAGGCTCCTGTTGCTCTATCAGAGGGTATGGCCTGCTATCACATTATCCATGAGCAGTAATAAAAACATAAAAAGTCCCCATCAGAAGGACAGAAAAAGTAACTGTTTTAAATTTGTGTCTGAAATCATAGTTATTGTGTCTGGTGACACAAATTACTCTATGTAAAATGACTTTTAATTTGAAATGTTTTATGTTTTTGGATTTTTTATTTTTTCCAGCCGCTCCTTGCTGTTTTGCATGGGGTTAATATTTAGCAGGGATAATGTAATTTGTTGCAACCGGGTGTAGCAGTTTTCCTTTAAAACAACATGTTCAATTTGAGCTTTGCACTATAAGCACCATGTCTCATGTCTGCTCTAAAAGTAGTGCTCATTGTTTACTGTGGGAGTATCTCTTTCAAGAGTCTCTTTGTTTAGCTTTTATAAAACCCAGAACAAAAGAGCAATGGTGGATGTAATGGAATAAACTGATTGTTTCTCTGACATAGCTGTAACTATGAGCATGCAAACTAGCTTCCTACTTCAGAAGCAACCTGGCGTTACTTCCAAGGCTGAGGAGCTCCACATCACCAGGGTTGGGCAGCGATGCATTACTTAATAACACTTTACAATTACATAATGGGTTCAGTCAACCAATGCTTTTTTTCCACGTCTTCTACAAGTATCATCGATAAGACAGCTGGCTTCATGCTAAGACATGTAACTTTAGCCTCAGTCTTTAAGCACAATATGGTGTATATGGTAATCAAGTGCACATTTAAGATCATTTGACAGCTCTAGCTTTGAAACAAAGCACCTGAAGACATCAAAAAAACTCAGTTTGAAAAAAACCTGTAAAATAGTATGTTGCATAAAATTGTATTTGAAAGTCAAATTGTGGTATTGAAAAAGTCATATTTTATGAAAGTCATAAAAGGTGATAGTATAGTATGTCAAAAAAAGTCAATGTATAGTATGTTGAAAAAAGCGATATTATAGTATGAAAAAAGTCATAGTACATCCAAAACAATTAATAAAAAAGTCATAGTATAGTACGTCAAAAAGCTCACATACAAGTCATAGTGTAGTATGTCGAACAATGGCATAAAAGGCATAATATACAATGTCGAAAAAGGTCTTAAATAAGTCAACGTATAGTGTGTCATAATAAGTTCATAATTTAGGATGATAAAGAAGAGTCAAGGTATAAATTATCAAAAACTCACAGTTTATAATTATAAGAATATCATTAAAAGTCACTGGATAGAATGTCATACAATTATCCAAAAAAGCAATTGTATAGTAAGTTGAAAAATAGTCTAGTATAGCATAGTATAGTATGTCGAAAAAAGTAATTAAAAGTCATTGTATAGTATATACAAAAAGTCATAAGAAAAGTCATAGTTTAATTTGTCTAAAACAGTTGAAAAAGGTCTTAGTATAGTATTTCTGAAAAAGTCATTAAAAGTCCTCGTATAGTACGTCACAAAAAAATATGTAAATAAGTAATTGTATATTACAAATTAATAGATTTCAGAAAATTAGTCATGATATAGTATGTCATAAAAATGTCATTAAAAGGGACAGCATAGAATGTTATAAAATTGTGATAAAATATTCATAGCAAAGTAAATAAAAAAATGTATATAGTCATATAAATGTAAAAGTATAGTAGTAATGGAAAATGACATTAAAATGGGATATTATAGTATGTTTTAAAAATACGTCACTAAAAATGTAATAAAAAGATGCAAAATAGTATGTTATAAAATGGCAAGTTATAATATAGTATTTTATAAAATTGTCACACAAAGCCACAGTATTGTATGTTATTGAAATGTCAAGTAAAAAAGTCATAGTCATGTTATATAAAATATTATTAAAAAAATGTCATATTATAGGGTTATAAACATAAAATAATCATGGTATGGTTTGTAATAAAATTGTCCATTGTTTAGGCCATTGTTTAGTATGTCATAGAACTTTTTGGAAAAATTCATAGTTTAGTATGTTAGAAAGAATCCTTATATTTCATCGTATAATACGGTATAAACAATGTCATAGTATTGTATGTTATTAAAATGTAAATACAAAGTCAGAGTATAGTATGTCATAGAAATTGTCATAAAGAAGTCAAAGTGTAGTATAAAAAATGTCATAGTATAAGTAGTAATAGTAGAAAAATGTCATGCAGTCATAGTTCAGTGTGTTAAGCAAATATTGCTTTTGTACTCACACCTACACACCTGGGGTAGTAAATATAGCTGTTGTAACATGCTTATGTTTCAGCTCTCGACAGATATAAACCCATCCTTGTTCCTTAGAACACTATCAAACTGTTGCATGTCTTGGAGAAAATTTTCCACACACATCCTGAAAAGCCTGCTGTGCCTGAACACGCTCTCAGTGGAAATGACGTGTTCTATTAATAGAAATGAAAGGAGACAAACTAAATAAGGGCAAGCTGGTGATTAAGCTCGTCAAACACCGCCGTAACAATTAAATAACTCATTAAACACACGGGTAAAACCAACCGTAAACTCTTAAGCCCTCCAGCTGTGGAAGTGTGTAGCGCACTGAAATATGTCATTTCAGATTTCTTGCTAATTTACTATCAGTGTGTCTATGTAAAATAATTAACTTTAAATATGTGTTTAAGTTCATTCATATTTGTATTACTTCAGTAGTTAATTACCTAACTGTATGCTTGCTAACTGAAAAGGGAAGAAAGTTGGTGTACTGACCCTTTAGAAGAAAGCGCTGTCGCTTTAAGAGAGTTTTTAGAGAAGGTGATGTATGCAGGCTGAAGGCAACATGTGCTTGTGCTTAACCGTGGGGTCTGTAAATAAAAGTTGCAAAACAAAGATGGATGTGTTGTTGGATAGTTCATTTTAAGGGTGCAACATGTGCAAACTGACTGACGTCAGGTCATTGTGTGACATGAGAGGGCTCCTTCTTCAGTTCACTTTCACTTTTGGTTAAACAATGTTTTTATCGGGCCAGGTAATGATGACGAAACTGCTGACTCTCATGACAGCCAGAGAGAGCGGGGGAGCAAGAACAAAGAAGAGCAGCTTATTGCCAAAGGGGAACTTTGTTTATTATATATTCAAGTTTCATCCCAACAGGTGATCGGTGCCAAATGCCTACATCAGGTAGCGACAGTTTCTCCACTGGATTAATTAAACAGTGGCATCCTCATATCACATCACCATTTCACATGAAAGCCATTCCACTGATATTGATCTTTTGTTAGTTTTTTTTTGAAAAATCAATAAGTTCCTCCTTTTCAACACATGATCTCTGATAAAATATTTTATTTATGATATAGTGGGGATCAAAACAACCATTTTAAACAACAATAATGTGAAACATGACATCGTTTATAGCTCAGCCAAGATGGTAAACCTGCCTATATTATGAGTATCAAGAGTACAATGTACCTTACAGCTTACTTAAAAAGTATTATTCATCATTATTACAACATAGCTTTTCACTGAAAATATAATAGCTTCACTAATACCGTATATACAAGGAATCTTCAACAACACAAGTACAAGAATCATTAGAGACACACACACATACATGTCACAAACATTACATGGAGCACTGTGCGTGCAGATGCAGTTGATCCTCTGGTCATTACCCTGAGCTGTCTGCGTGTCCGTGCGACTGCAACATCAAACCTGTCTGACATGTGTTTAACTTTCCAGGAACTCCAGCTCTACTCTCACCGAGATTAAAAACAGGCCATGTTCGTTAGCATGTAGATCACCGAAAAGAAGAAGAGAGAAGAAGAACAAACGGTGATTCGACGGTAGACGCGTCAGTGAGACTCATTGTTGTGGGGTACCGCACCGGTCTGGTGATCCGAACCAGTTCAACACAAACGGTTTGGTAGCCGCACAGCACACAGAACGTCTATGAGACTCAGATTGGATGCTTCACCGGACAATAAATGCACCAATAACATCATACATTCATTTGGTACCACGTAAACAAAGTAAAATGATTAGCTGTATATACATATATTAAATCTAGAAGGCACCTGAGGAGTGCAAAACCGCTTCTTAACACCTTATCTGTGTTAACCGCTTCATCCCAATGACACAGCGATACAGTTCATTTTGTAGCAGGGGCGCTTCCAAAAGGTGCCTCTATAAATGTGGTTTGGTACCGCTCTAACCTTTTGGGAGTAAACTTCAAGGAGTTACCTTTTAAAAGAGACACGGATCATGACTGTAGTCAGAAGTATTACAAACTGTTTAGATCATTATTGAGCATTTAAATGATCTGTTACACGAAAACAGTGAATGGTTCCAGCATTTCTTTTTTTTTTGTGATGATGCTGTTTGCTCTTGTTTTACATTCTGGTCTATCTTTAGCATATTTCACTATTATCTGAGGTTTTACAAACCAGACGATTCACTGATTAATAGAGGAAAATAATAAATTAATCAAAAGGGGGAAAGTAATCCTGCAGCCTAAATCAAAACAGTTCAAGAACAGAAGCCACATTTTGGAATTCAGCAAAAACAAAAAGGGAGTTATTTTTAAAGGGTGGTTCAGTTATTTTGTGAATCGCCACCAACAACATCACATGACTCGCTCTTGCCCGGGGTGACATGCACGAGTTGTTGAGATTTCCTGCCGGTGGTCAAACTACCAGAAGCATAGCTCCCTCTATCGAGGAAACACCACACACGTCGTGCCGTCGGGGTGAGTCCTGCTTAGAGTGTCTGTTCTCACAAGTTCTCCTCCGATCCAGTCAGCTCTGATCTTCGTGTCTTTCATCTGCCCTCAAAAGAATTGACACTGGCTCCCCAGCATGTAGCTCAGGCCCACGGTCACAGTCTTAATCTTGAAACCAGCAGTGCAGTTCAACTGCAGACTGAGCGTCTCCTTGTCCCTGAGGTAGGCGATGCTGTGGAGCCCCCTGCAGACCTCGTGGGAGGCGTTCAGGGGGAAGGAGCTGACGGGAGCTTTTCTCCCCACCACCTGCAGCTGCAGCAGCCCGCTGGCTTCAGTCTCGTCCTTGTCCTTGTAGCACAGGTACATGTACAGAACGTAGGGTCCAGTGCAGTTGACGTAGATCTGGTCTTTGTTCTCCCCGGCCAGACTCATCATGTTGCTGCTGAAAACTTCAGTGAACTTCACCGTCCCATTTTCTGACAAGTCTGAAAGGTGAAAGAGTGAGAATGATAGAAAGTGAGGGGAGAAAGAAAAGGTTTGTTAAGCTTTGAATTTTTCTGATACGAGTGTGCAAAAAGATAAAAAGATAAAAAAATCTGAAAATAAATGCATTCTTCTCACCTGAAACGGGATCAAACCGTATGTGAACATTGTCTTTAGATGCCTGCTCTGCACTTGGTGTTCGAGTCTGAAACACAAAGCAGTTTGTTTTGTTTGTTAGTTTGGTGGTTAAGAGACGTGAAAAGGTGAAATAGGCAGGCTGACAGAAACCAGGGAAAGTCTCAGAGATGATGAATAATGGTAGTGAGAGCGGTATCGCAGCCTGAATGTAGAACGCATGTTAGTCATTGAAATGATCACGATCAACCACGCTCATGTATCCATGCAGTTAATCAGTCATCCAGGTCATAGGATGAACTCTTTGCAGCTCTTCTCTACCAGACTCTAACTTTTACTGGATTTTAATACGACTCTACGATTAAGACTGAAAACCACCAGTAAAAGTAGCTGCTTTGAAGGCGGTTTCTTTGTTCCATGTGATCATAGTGAAACGTCCAATGCGGCATCCTGTTATGAATATGAGCTCACTGTACCAACAAGTCCACCTCCAAATTTAGACAAACAACCAACTTCATATTTTCTGCATGAGAAGGTTTCTCTCACAAGGCAAGTTTATAGCACATTTCAACAACAAGGTAATTCAAAGTGCTTCACATAAAACCATTAAAAGCATCAAAACATAAGGCAAAAGAAAAGGAGATTTAAAAACAATTAAGAACATTCATTAAAACACTAAAAAGCAGTGTAAGAAATAAAATACAGTAGTAAAATGCAGGAATGTCGGAAATTGATTAATATCCTTGAATCTGGTTCAATTCACTCTGTAAAATCCTCCTCAGTGAAAGTGGAACAGCTGCTCCCGATAAAGCGCAGGTACAAGGAGCCCTTATAACTTCCCAGCCCTCTCATCAATTGGTCGTTTTGAATTCTGACCAAAGTTCAGGTGATTGTTTTCATTTCAGAACGTCAATAAGCACGAAGCTCTTTGTGGTTGTAGTCTCACTTTAAAATGACATCTGTTGAATCAGTCTACAGCCTGCAGGCACAACTTAGACCTTTACTCGCAGTGTGAATGAAACAAGGCTGCTGTGAGGGGGAAGTTTCCATATATGCAAAAAAAATAGAAAAAATAAGCCCGACGTACAATGTCTGATAAAGTTTGTCTGAGGAAATAAAAACGTTTATGTTCGATATTAAGAATCCACTTAGATGATGATTACATCCACTAAAGCAGTGGTTTTAGGACACTCAACAAGTTTTAACTAATTTGTGCAAAAGAAGTTGCTTCTGTTAAAATGATCGGTCCCTCTTCAGTCAACTCACCTGAACGTTCCAGCAAACGTAGAGCGAGACCACCAGGCACGTGGTCACCAGCACGTTCTGCACGGCGACGACCACCGCGAGCTTCCTCGTACGCCTCTCCCGGTGGACCGCGCGGCCTCCGTCAGCATCCATCCTCCTCCGCTCCATCTCTCTCTCTGAGCGTCCTGCAACAGTTCAGCGGGGCTTTTTAAAACGCGAGTGGGCACGGCGCGAGGAGGGGAGTGACTGGAAAGAAACCGCTCGTGAGATCTACTCTTAGATTTTTTTCCCTAGTTGCGTTTGAGTGTAGGTGGATGGGTGGGTGTGGGGGGGGGGGGG